TGTGATTTTGGAATCTCATCACTTACTTTTACATCGTAAAATTTGGCTCTACCCTTGAATTTGTTAAGCCATCCATGGCTGACAGTAAAAAATGCACTTTGTTAATCAGAATTTTTCTTCAAGTCATCATACTTTTAGCTTTTTCCAAAACAAGCATTAAGCTAAGTGGGATTCAATGCTGATGCTGATCCTACATCCACACACTAAGAAGTTTCTCTACCTCCTCTATCATTGTACTTTGCATTTGGCTGTTTTGACTTCCCTGGCACAGCAGACTTTACATGTTCCAGATCTTGCCCTTGTTTTTCAGAATTGTGCCACACTGGTTGAACAATTCACACTATAGGAATGAGTGATGTCTACAATCTTTTCACTTAGGTCCAATCTCTCACTTGTTTTCACTTTTCTTTCTATGGTTGTTGCTCTTCACTTCCACATCACCAGTGCTTTTCTTCTTGCTTCTGGGCACCCTGGGCTCTCACTGAGCACTGTACACTACTGTGCACTGTTGTACTGAAAAGCGAGCGGCACAACTGTGACCACATCCAGCAGACACGTGAGCTACTGTGAATCTATGTATGCTTGTAATAAGAGGTCCATACTTATCTGTGAAAGTTAACTCAAATGTTTGTAAATTGTGAGTACATAAGTTCAATAACTGGAAATGCTTTTTATATTATTCAGTTTGACTCTACCCTTTAATGAATAGGAAGAGATACTTATAAACTTCATAGTGATGATAACTGCACACATACTACATGGATATTATTTAGCCTTTCATGTAATACAGGACTGTTCCTGGCCCAGACTGCACATTAGTATTTGCATTTGCTGAAATAATATCAAAAGACTGATAAATAGTATTTTGTGTCATTTGAAAAAAACAGATCAACTTTTAGGTGGTTGTGGCATACGTATTATTTGTGTATATCTTATCCTTCAATCTGTCAGTATATACACCTATGTACACACACACAAAGGAGATAGAGTTGATGTGTGTATGTGTGTATATATCAATATTATTAGCATAATATTTTCTCAATATTAGCATAATTTGGTGGTACTGGGAATCGAACTCAAGACCTTGTGCTTGCCAAGAAGGTGCTTATGCCATTGAGTTATATCTCTAGCCCCTCACTCTTACCATTTAAATATCAAATAATTACTTTTCTTGCTGTATTTGTTAATCAGATAAGAAAGTATAATTAAGAAATAGAATTAGTCTGTAGCAGTACTATAGATTCCTGCTATTAGCCAAGATACTGCCATCATCATAAAATTATACAATTTAAACCAAATGATAATCAGGGCCTGCTTCTATTAGGAACAAGCATCCTGTACTTCGTAATATGCTCAATTACCTTTTGATTGATCCATGAATAAATTATAATCCATATAAACTTCTTTACCTTAAAGCTTTGCTGGCTTAAGGTATCATTGTTGATTCATTATGTTGTCACTTTCTATCGGCAATGTAATGCTTTTTATATCTGGAGAGAGACAGTTTTAGTGTGAGATACTGTTATCTTTGAATGAGTGGGATTTAGCTTTTCTGGTAAGACCAGATTCATCTATGATGAATCCCTGGAGAAAGTACAAAAACAAAAATCTCACCATTTCTGTGTTTAGTTCAGCTCATCAGTTATAAAGCAGCTTTTGATACTCCTAAAGAACTTTTTCCTTTGGTTAAGAAATATGGCATGATGTTCAAAACCTCTTGTGCTCAAAACCTCTTGCTCTGAGGTACTGCAGGCTACAACTTTTTCTGTAGGAAAATAATGAATGAAGAGGGAAGCTCCTGCTGCTGCCACTGTCAAGCCCTGCTGCTTCTCCTCCTTCACTGGGAAATCAATTAACTCTGTGTTCTGGTAGAGATTTGAACTAAATGCTTTATTAATCATCACTGATTCTACATACACACAGTGAACAACGAATGCATTCTTCCTCACTCTTTTTTAGCTTTAGGGTTTTGTTTGTTTGGTTGGGCACAATCAGAACACAAATGTAGCCTAATTGTGGTATGTGTACAGGTTATCTTCTGAGGCAAGAAAAAATGGATCTTTTTATATTTTCAGAGTGCTTAACTTTTAAAACATTCAATTCCCCAAAATCCTAAAGCCACTTTAGTGCACATATTTTACGAAATTACTTAAGTTTTTATAACTAATGAGGAATGCACAATGCCTATGGAAGCCTTGAAATTTTGAAAGTTACCTTCAGCCACTGGACCGTCTACATGGCAGGGAGGAATTGGATGTGAACCTAATCGGGTTTGACGGTTGAAAAGTAGTCATTGACATTTAATGTATGTGTGCTTTCTTCTTAAAGAAAAACTGGGCAGTAGTCAATCATACAGAAACCTACAGAAAATATCAGGCTGCTAGATGTTTACCCTGACTGTTTCCCATTCAGTACCAAGAGATTCTCAAATAGTTGTTATCATTGGTATTACTGTTGCAATAATTTGAAATCATGTGTTAACTATAACTATATTCTTTTTTTATTTAAGTAAAGAAAATCTAGCTAGAAACAAGTCTCCTTTGATTTGCTTTTAAAAGTTATAAGAACTTCCTTTTGAATAGTCTTGACAAAACTAGATAAAATTAATGGCACCAAGTAATGCTAAGATCCTATCAGAAGATCAGATAATGACTCAGGGATGTGTCAGCATAAGGGATCTCCTGGAACAAAAGGTCCTATATTTAAACAGTTACTCATTTGTGATAATCTTCATGAATAATAGATCAGGATATAGGTGTCCTTAAGGTAAGAGGAAAGCGAGTTCTGGCAAAATCTCTATCATTTGACTCATGCTCACCATCAGATGAAATGGTATCTGGATCCAAGGAGGTCATTTCCGCAGTACCAGATGTAATGTCCAGTACTTCATCTGCCCCGGGGGAAAAAGTCTTTCTTTAGGAGGACATTTCAAACAAACATTACTGTTACTTCCTTAAGGATATTTACAAGTGGGATAAGTATTAAGATTACTCATTTTATGCTTTTAACAAGCTAGCCTCATTTACTTGACAGTAAAATAGATGCAGAATATATTTCCCTCACATCACACTTTTCATATTGCTGCAACCTTTAATATTGTACAATGTGCGAAACACAAAATATGGAGAAGGTTTGAATTATTTTTTTAAAAATAATTCTTTAAAAATAAAATAAAATATTTGTTTTATTAAAAGGCATATTACCATTAATTCCCCTCCAAATAGTCCTCTTTACTCTTTACTTACATTTATCTCGTTATTCACACTACTTTCTGAAGCAGTTCTAGAAGTTCTATTTCATGTCTTCAAGTGCACTGTCATGGCCACTTTGATGTCCTAAACTGATTCAAAAATATTTACCTTTCGCGGTCATTTTGACTTTGGAGAAAAGCTGCAAACCACTGGTGCTAGATTCAGTGGGTAAGGTGGAAAAGGACATGTTGTGATGTTTTTAGGAACCTGCAGTACTCAACAGCATTATTCACCATATTTTGATCCTACTCCGTAATGATACTCATGAAAGAGGACTTTCAGGATTGCTTTTGAAAGCAACTAGAACAATTTGATAAGTGTGTTCTGAGTGAGGAAAAGTATTTTGAGAGAAATTAATCACAATGTGTCTCTTAGTGTAATTTTTTTAAAATTGTAAATGCTTACCATGTATTTTGATCACACTTTGTGTATAAATTAATTTGGTGTTCATAACATTGTTCATTTCGTTTTGACTTGTTGAGAAAATTTTGTTAAATTGATCATGGGAGTATGCACATAAATATGTTTTTTGCTAAAAAAAAATTTCATTTTATTCTCCAGTCTGGCTTGATTGGAATATAGTTAAAGTTTACTTTACTACTTTGTCAAGAACTCTAGAGAACCAGAGATCTCATTTTCCTGACATTATGCAATCTGGCAAGTAGGAGGTCAGAGTTTTGAAACAAGTATGATTTTTCACTAAAGCACCTGTTAGGTCAGAGATCAGGATGATCTTGTAGTGTTGTAGTTTTGCACACCTCCATCAGCTAGATAAACCATCTTATAAAACAAACCGAACAATTCCAGGTGACAGGCTGACACAAAACATTTGGGATTTTATGGTGTCTATCATAGGCAGTGTGTCAATAAAACTGAAGATCAAAGGTTCTAGAAGAGGGGAAGGACAGAGTGAAGAGGAAATAATTGCAGGATAATGAATGGTATGAGGGCATTTTCGTGTTAACTTGAAACCACTTAGCATTTTTTCATGATACACAGGTAGCTTTCTAAATGAACTTTGTAAAGTACAATTGAATAACCTTGAGATTTCAAGCTATGATGTGATCTTGAATACCGATAGGATCACTTAAGCACTGTGACATAGCCTCGGCTTTCACTTCTATTTTTGCCTCCTTCATGTAAAATAAAATTTATTTTCTGTTCAGGAGAATCAATATTTTTACCATTTTTTTAGCAATTCCAGTAAATTGCAATCAACATTAGTTACAATCTTTAAAGAGATGTAGTAAGAATTTGAACACAATAAAATAAAGATACAGATTAGAACTTTGGCAAAGTACCTCTGCTATTGACAGAAGCATTTATCAGGACCTACAGCTATGGCTGTATTGTGTTAAAAACTTGATGAAGGGGGAAAAAAGCATCAATAGGCTTCACCTTCTGTCTATACACGCCAAACAAATGGTTTAACTAATAGCTATTGTTTTAAGTGAGTGGATTTCATTCACCATTGTGAAATTCATCCCATTTAGAAATGTATTTTAATTAACATTTGTATCCAACATACATATATTTGGTAAAGGTACTGTACTCTTGTGTTTTTTTTTTAATAACATAGATTCTGATACCTAGAAAACTAGTGCTCTACAAATGGGTGAAGATCCTGTAAGCATGAAGGAATCCCCAAACACACATTGGTTTGTCTTTTGGTATTATTTATGTGTTTATTTTCTCTCATCTTCCTCTTCTCTGAGCTAACATGCCTTCTTATTTGTGTTTTCCCTTTAGAAACTGCCAAGCTTTGGACCTTTTCTTGAACAGCGCAAGAAAATCGTAGCAGAGAACAAGATTAGACTCAAAGAACAAAATACAGCTTTTTCCCCAGTTGAGAGACGCTGTTTTGTCCCCCAAAAGCCTATTCCTTCCATCAAGGTAAAATTTAAATCTATTTAAATATATCTCTTTCACTGTTCAAATATGCTAACGCAGCTTATGTTTATTTCATCAAATGTATCCCTGGTTTTTGTTTTGAAAATATTCTTAAAGCTTCTAGAATTCTATATATAGAGGAAATAGTGTTTAAATTACAGAATAGCATCTTATTTGAGTACTTTAAACTTTTATTTGTGTAACATACTTTTCAGAACACTTTCAGATATGTGTTTCATGGAACTCTTGGTATTAAATGTGTCAGGATATGTTAAGATAACTTCTTTGTCTTCTCATAGCATTGATATCACTATGATAGCTTGTATTTTGGCAAAACCTTCCCTGGTTTGGCCTTAAGAAAATGTATATCTTCATTGCCAGGAGATTATTCTCTGGTTAAAAGCTATTATTAAATCAGAATGATGCATGTTACTTGCCATGATTTTTTAAAAACCTTTTTTATTCTGAGAGAAATATATATTCATATTCAATTATAATAAATGATACAGAGTGACAACATTCTCCCTCCACTAAGTATGCCAGTGTCAGTATACTGAAAAATTGTATTCCAGTATCACAATGAGGATATTGATCCAACCTACCAATCCTATTCAGATTTCTCTAGTTCTAGTACTGTTCGTGTGTGAGTGTGTGTGTAAATGCAGTTTTGTCACATACTTCACAGTTAAAATAGAAAACATCCCATCACCACAAGGGTTCTTCAGGTTGCCCTGTGGGAAACAAACCCCCTTTTTTCTTTCCCCTTCTAAGTTGGAAATGTTTAAAATGGTCATAATGCAAAAAGGGAGTGTTGTTGGGTGGCCTTCTCTCTGAAGTCACTATCAGTGAAATATGGCCTGCAGTTACTGAAACTGATTCTTCTGTTCCCATGATCTGTTTTTCTGTTGAAGCACCAGCTGAAATGCTCACTCTTAGGGGCTATCAAGCAGACCTCACTATCTCTAGTGACAGTCAACTAGAGATTAGAATTCTTAAAAATTCTATCTGTCAGGGGAAAAACATGGTCCTTATGCTATAAACAGTAGCGTTTAGGCTGGATGTGGCAAAATTTAAGCAATGTAAAGTAGTGAAAGAAAAAATGGAAGTGGTTGGTCACAAACCCTACAAGCACTTCACATGTCATAATTCCACATGAAACGAATACTTGGAACTTTTACCAGAATGATAATTCCAAATAGTCCTTTGGAAAGTTTACTGTTAAATTATTTTTGTACTGCAAAAAGGGTGGGCTGAACAGAGATGGGAAAAATAAGTAATTAAAAGTCCATATCTTGAAGCCTTTCATAAGCCTTCTGACTCTACCACTGTAATATTTGATTTAGGGTTAAGTGGGGATTCTCCAAGCCTTGTCACTCTTAATTTGAGTTAAATGAAAGATACTTATTTCTAAGAATACCTTCTTGGTGTGTAGACATTTTAGATGAAACATGTTATTTACATTTGAAATAAGTACTAAGTGATTATAAAAGAATGTTCATCTTTTTCAGACCTTAGTCTTTTAGTGAATGTACTGATAACATAAAAGTAAAACAAAAACAGAGAAACAGAAAACTATAATCAATGAATGTACTGATAATGTAAAACAAAAAGAGAAAAAGAAAACTATAATCAATTTTAAAATTTGTAGTTTATTAGCTACTTTCCCCTACACCCCTAAAAATTCAAACTCAGAATAATTAAACCAAAGAAATATGATGATAAAGGATTTTTTACATCAAGAAGAGACAGTCTTATTAAAAATAGTACACACTTAATTGGGTGGTGTGGTACATACTTATAATTCCAGCTACTTGGAAGGCTAAGGCAAGAGGATGTCAGTTTGAGACCAGCCTGGAAGACTTAGCAAGAATCTATCTCAAAATAAAGGAATAAAGGTTAGGGGTGTAGCTCAGTGCTCTCTAGATTCAATCACCAGTACTTCAAAACACACACAAACACCACAGGTTTATATTTATTTCTTAAGTTGTCTCACCTGAAAGGTTATCCAAAATGAAGTGTTCTTGGTGTCATTTGGTGTTACTTAAGCCTCAAGACACGGTAGATACCATTCTACTATTACCGAAGACTACATCAGTGCAAACATATTAAAAGTAGATTTTCTCAATATCCACTAGACTTTTCAAGACTTTGGCCTTCCCAGAAATTCCATAGCCATTCCACCTGTTGTTATTTATGGGAAGATGATGTGTCTTGTGGAAAGCTCAGAACTAGCTGGTAATTACCCCCATGGGAATGGAACATTTTTATTTTTTGTAAGTGCAATTATCCTTTTGGAAAATAAAGCAATGTCATTAACAAATGACTTCCTGCTTCAACTTGATTTCTACAATCCTTTGTGTAGAATGGAGAATGGCATATATTTTAGAGCAAAACAGAAAGTATGGAAGACTGTGTTTTCCCCCACGTATATCCCTGGCTGGGTCTGTCTTGATTTCTGATGATCCTTGATCTCTAGATTATGATGTTTTTATCAATAGTAACTTATGTGATTGCATCTTTTATTAAGAGTCTCCTAGCAAGTATGTCTCACTCATACTCCAAGATGATTTTCCAGCCAGGAAGAGAAAAAAATTTTATCTCTAACCAATCATAAAAGCATGTAGCAGCTACCAGCACTAACAAGCCTAGAAGTGCTATACATGCTATGTTTGATTCTGAGAATACCTGAGATAGACACTTTACCCCCACGTTAGATGAAACATGTTATTTATATTTGAAATAAGTACTAAGTGATTATAAAAGAATGTTCATCTTTTTCAGACCTTAGTCTTTCAGTGAATGTATTGATAACATAAAAGTAAAACAAAAACAGAGAAACAGAAAACTATGAATGTGAGATTGAAAGTGAGATTGAATAATTTGTTCAACTTATTTAATAAACAAGTGACAGAATGAAGGAATGGGTATGGAGTTGGGAAATCCTGACTCAGGAGATTCACAGGATTGCCTCAAAAGAGGGGATGATTAGTTAAGTTTGGAACATTTTAAGTTTATGAAATAGACCTAAAGATGGTCATGGAAGAGAAGGTCTTCAACATGTAATAGTATGAAGATAATTCCAAGAGAATTGAGACAAACGCGTTACATCATGGTTTTGTAAATGATCATGTGATTTAACGTAGATATCTAATAAGAGATTTGTAAAATGAAATCATCAGACAAGAATTTTCTTTCTCTTTCCCTGTTCCTTCTTAACCTTCTATAGTTTCATTTTTTGTTTTGTTCTATTTTATACATAAAGAGCAATGTAAAAATTAACCCAGATCCTACCAACTACTACTAAAATTTAGATTTATAAAATTATATCTTTTCTATTCTTACATGTAGAACACAAAACAAACTATTGATTCTCTTTTTACATTATTTAATGGTACTATGCTTTTTAATAAAATGAATTATTTGTTTTTAAGAAGAACTTGTTAAATATTGTTAAAGAAATATATATATATTAAAAACACAATCATAGGGGGCTGGGGATTTAGCTCAGCGGCATAAGTGCCTGCCTTGAAGCAGGCAGTCCTGAGTTTGATCCCCGGTACCAATAAAAAGGAAAAAGACAAAAAAAAAAAAAAAACCCACAATCATTATACAAAAATCTTTGTGGAGACTTCTGATTGTCTTCTCAAGAAAAATTACTAATAGCGACATTTTAGGGATTTCATACGGTATTGTGAAATAATTTTCTAGCAGGATTGTGCAATTTTACATTCCTTGCAAAAATTTAAGGGGATAGTTCATTAACAATTCTATTTTTAATTTTTCTTATTGTGAAACTAAAATAGTATTTTATGTTCATCTTAAATTTTAAATGTTTACATACTGGTAAACTCAGCATTTTTAATGTGTTTTTGGACAATTTTTTTCTTTTTTGAATTGCTGCTTATTTCTTTTGACCAACTTGCTGTTGGAGTATTTACCTTTGTCATAAAATTTTGTAAATTTTTACATATTTTAAAAAATAGCACTCTGTCAAGTCTGTTTCATACATATGTATGTCTAAGATTGCCATTTGTCTCATAATCTGTATAGATAATTTTACATATATATAAACAAAAGTGTTTACATAATTTTTTCTGGAAAATATAATTTATTTTCATCTTTATAGTTCTTTAGTTTAGACTTTTGTACAATAATATTGAATATTCACCCTATCTAATTCTTTAGAATTTTAATATTTATGAAACTTTATAATTAATCTAAAATGTCAAGTATTATGTTAGTGTTAGTTTTTTCCCCAAAGAGATAATAACTCCAGTATATTTGTTTGCTAATTTGTTTATTGTAATCTCAGTGGTGTTTTGATTTGAATTTCTCTAATTGCCAAAGATGGTGAACATTTCTTCATCTATTTTCAGGCCATTTGTACTTCTTTTAGAGAAATGTCTATTCATTTTGACTCCCTATTTTTATTGCATCTTCAATTTTGGGGGTCTATGTTTTTTTGTTCTTTATATACTGTAGATAGTAGTCTTCTGAGAAGTAGCTTCCCATTCTATAAATTGTTTTTTCAGTCTATTGGTTGTCTCTGCATCAGCTCTAAATCTATGTATTATTAATAATATTACCATTTTAAATGACTCTTTTCATCTCTCAAATTATAATTCAATGACAAAACATAAATTTCATTGCTTACATCATGTTCTAATTTTCTATCCCTCAAAAGTTTCTTACTTAAACTTTTTGAGATTCAAGGAAAAATGAACTAAGCAGGTTTTTTAAAAATTTAAAATATCTAGACAAATTCTAATAAAGATGTTTGATTTTTATAAACAGCTTTATGCAATTGGCAGCTGTTTGTTGAATAAGAAACAGTGAAGTAAAACCTTTACAAATAAAAATTTCTAATGACATCTAGAACTCTAGGTCACAACCCAATATGGTGCTATATATTGATACCTCATTTATTATTTTAATGCTTTGGTAAAGAAAAAAGTGCTTCTTGTCCTGCAGTATTGGTTCTTTACTTAGACATATGCTATATA